GTCATTGTGCAATAGGATGAGAGCTTCCTTAGTAATGAGATCACTAAAGAGGAAAATAACCCAACAAAGATCCATCAGTGAAGTGCAAAAGCATACCCTTGCCTTTGGAATTGGCGGCGGCGCAGCGCAAGGCATGCAATGGTTCACACAAATTGCAAGAGGAACAATGTGCCAGCAGCGAGCCGTGCAATGGAGAGAGGAACAATGTGCCAACCTTGAAGATGGAGAAGTGGAATGGTGATGCAACTGTATTGTGGGTAGTTGGGAAATGGGGAAATAACTCACGCTGAATTTACTACCACCGGTAGACCAAACGGTCGTGTAGGGCCGGCGGCTAGAACGCCTATCCAGTCGGCTCGGCTTTTTATGCGACGGAGAAAATACCACTACCGCATCTACTGTTAACCCATCGGTGGTAGAAGTCTCAACTGCCGGTTTCCTTCAGCAGGAGGCCTCGCTATGGGTCCAACCGGCGGTGGAAGTAAAACACAGTCGCTTCTATTGCTACTGTCACACCCGATTTTAAGGATAAAATGGGATGCAAAATCTTATGTGCGCCCAGAGATCAGTCACACACATAAGCCGACAAATTATAAATAGTATCATCACAAATGTTTATTACATCACGAATAATAAGACAGAGTCTTCACATAAATATAGCAGAAGTATAAAGAAAAGATCTCTCGCAGAAGCTCCATATCATAGGGACATGAACTGGTTGACCATAAGTCTAGTATCCTCAGGAAAGTCGTCATTACCATAGCCATCTGTTGCCCATCCGGGATTTTTGTCCAAATAATGAAAATAAACAAGCGTAAGTACATGTCATACTCAACAAGTGTAACATGGAGTTCATGAGGCTCAAAAGGCTTGACACAGGTTTAACAGCATTCAGCTTTTAGTTGTCACAATTTTAGCATAAAAGTAGAAACAAGTTGTTTCAATCCTAAAGCAAGACACGTGATCAATGTAATCATGAATAATGAATAGCATAAACCAATAATTCTTAGTGATCATCAATTCCATAAGGGTTCCAAGGCCGCTCATGACCGTGAGCACGGCTGATATACCAGTTTTACACTCTGTAGAGATTATACACTTTCACTGTGAGTCGTGATACCCATATACCCAGGTTTATAACTCCCAAAACACTTCCAAGGTGAGCAGGCAGGGGTCACTATGAAGCCATTCAAAGGTTCGTCTAACAAGTTAGGGCCGCTAGGTTTCTGTGGCCTACGAATGTAGGGCTCCCCTTCCGACAGGCACAATGACGCGCAGCCTATACACTGATAGACAGAGGCCAGCACTATATCCAACCCGGAACACACCCCTCTTGCACCATAAAGGTAACCTCTAACAAGCTAGAAAAGGTCCTCATACTGAGCTAAAGCCAGAGCCATGTAGCCCTCATAGTTGTGCTGTAAGTCCCGAATGATCACTTATAGATAAGTCCTTAGGGAGAGGAATCTATAGCACCATAAAAACAGCCCAATACTCTAGCCCCTTGGTTCCATATTGCTAAAAAGTCATATTTTAATGTTTATTGCATATACCATTAGTCAAGTTACAAGATCATGGTTGAATTGAGCACTAGCAAAGCTACCCAATGCAAATCCCGTAGGAGACAAGGTATAAGTTCAATTCTAGGGAATCCCTATCAAGGTGACACATGCAACATGAATTTAAATATATTAAAGTTGATAGGAAAACAAAGATGATCCCATGCTATACTTGCCTTGAACAAAATGCTCCTGTTGATCCTGCTCGTCAAAGTAATACTCTTGGTCTCCCACGAATTGCTCACCGTCTATACTCGATAATCACAGCAACATACAAGCATCCAAAAGCAATCATGCATAGCAAACAAAAGCTATAGATTAGAACAGTACACCAATCAACATAAAATCAAGATGAAAAGTTTGTAAAACGAATCTACATCTCGCTACGATCACACAGACGTGAAGATCACAAAAATCAGAGCTAAAACGAAGAAGTTATGATTTAAATAAGATTTCCTTTAGTAAAATAATAGATTAAATCTAACCTCGAATTTTATGAGTTGAAAACATACCTAACAGTAGTATGAACATGTAGTTTATGGAATTACAAACCTAACACAAGTTGAACGGATCAAATCGGAGTTAAAACGAATATTTTATGGCTAAAACAAGATTAGTGGCAAAACTATAAATAGGTGAAAACATATTTTGGATCTAAACCGAAGAAACTACGCTTTCTAAAGAAGAAAACGTATTCTGGGAAGGTGCTATGGACTGCGGGTTAGGTTATTCAAAAGCCGAGGGTCTCTTTAGAAAAGACACAGTGACGGCGGGTTAAGACTCAAATAATTGTAATGGCCGTTTTGCAAAAATGCCAACGAAGGGGTATGTTCTAATCCTGGCCCTTGATCTTAGATTGGACAGATGGGAGGGACTGGCGCGGCCGGCCGGCCAGAACAGGACCGAGTGCGGCGGTCCTCCATGGACTGCGATGAGAAGCTCGCCGGCGTGCGCAGTTTAGGGCCTATGGACCACCACTTGGCGAACCAAGAGCACGAGGAGAGAGACGAGATGAAGGAGAACTCACCGAGACCGAAACCAAGGGCGGGAGACCGACAACAGCGTGCGGCGGCTGCTTGAACTCGACGGCAGCGGCGGCGCTAGGGCTACGGCGATTGCGAGCTCTGGGCAAGGCGGACGGCTTGCTCTAAGGTTAGGTAGGGGAGCGGCGTGGGCACGGCCGCTATTTATGATGTGCCTGGCTTGCAGCGCACGCCTGGACGCGGTGTAGATGGCGCGGACTCGGCGGCGACGGCGGCGGTTGTGTCTGGCTCGGACACGAGCGCGAGGTGGAAGATAGTGACCCTAACAGGGCAGGCCCACCTGTCGACGAGAGGCGAGAGGGCGTGGGAGAGGAACGACGCGGGCGACGATGCGGGGCTGCACTGGGCAGGGCTGCCAGCTGGACTTCGGCCCGCGCGGGAAGAAGAGGGGAAGGCCGAGTGGGGCGACTGGGCCGGTCGGGGAGAGGAGGCCGACTGGGCCAAAAACCAGGGAGGGAGTAAGTTTTCCTTTTTCATTTTCTAAACTAATTTTCCAAACAAATTTTGAAATGCAAATTCAAATCAACTTGAAGTTTGATTTCAAACCACACAAATCAAAAATACTATGCAGCAGCATGAATGCATATACAAGTTTGTATACCTTATATTTGATTTTAATTTGATAAAGTTTATTATTTTTTTATGTGGCATGCACACACTATTGCATAATTAAATCAATTTACCTATTTAAAAATAATGAAAATTTAGGGTGTTACAGCTACGGCAGTGAAAGTGGCTATAGCGATAAGTCAATCTGTAGTAATATTTGATCCGTGTAGTTATCAATGGCCTTGTTTTCTAAACGAATATATAGAGCCTTATAACATAACTGTACCTCCCATATATTCATAAAAGTACAGAAAGTCAGAACTGTGGAGTTGGGGAAGCCACATATACGCGGAGTTGGGGAAGCCACATATACGCTGGAGGTGGTGGAGGAGCTGGGGAGAAGGAACCCCTATGGGAATGGACCCATGCCTCAATATCAGACACTTGCTCTTTTTAAAAATCCTACATTACACTCCTGGCAAGTTTAAATGTATCAAGTTTAGAGCTCAGAAACTACTTCAATTAGAGTAAAAGGTAAGTGACACGAAGTTCCAACAAATCCTTACCAGGCCTCTATGTTTTTATTTTCACTACATGGCTATGGGAGTTCACTGCTGATAGGCCTCAGCTGCCATGCCTTACCGGTGACATTCCTACCACCACCAGCCACTTCCTTCCAGGTAGGGAGCTACCAGTTCGCCCACATCAACGGGCTTATGCCCGCCACCAACTTCTGCCCCGGCCAAGCCTTCCTCCTTGTAAGCCTGGACCCATGACGAAACCCTGCCCCGAGCGGCGTCCACGCCATTGGCAAGACGTGACAGCTCAAGGCGCACACGGGCGACGTAACCATCCATCGCCTCGCCAGCGATCACACGGCCTTCCGGCACCCGCCCCGCGGGTCAAGATCGGATATTAATTAGTTTTTTTTTCTATAAAATTAGTTACTTAAGACTTGCACGGATTCTAGAAAATTAGTTAAACTTAAGACATGCATGGATTCTGAGAAATAATTTATTTGGAGACAGAGTGACCCCTGGCCCGGAATGTGTGGAGAAGGGAATTGACTAGTAGCACGTATAACGGGGATTGACCTTTTTTTAATTAAGAAATACAAATACTTTGGCCTCCAACGTTCACGAATGAATGAGTATAGCCAAAACGTCGCGTAGTCTTTGATCGACAAGAACCAAGTTTTCGTTCCTCTGTCCGTGCAAGAAACCGTATAGTACTTGTTGATATTTGTGCGAATTGTCGAACAGAGACTACTTCAAAGTTGCTTTGTTCGAAGAAGAGAGGAGACAATGACAATGCTCTGCTCAATCCTTTTTCGATTAAAAGGTACGGTGACGAATTCTATGTGAGCCTAGCTCTTCCCAGCTCTGTTGATGCGTCGTCCCTGGGTCTGGGTGTGATCACGTTCGAGGTGGTCTCAGTTTGAACTTGAATAATGTCTCAATATAAGCACATGCTGCCTTTTGATTTGTCTCTAAAGATATGGTCCACTAGAAATTGAACAGGTACTTGCATGTGTGGTTCCTGCACTTTACCAAGCCATTTGGTTGGTGGGAGCGCGTAGATCATTTGACATATTTGACTCGATAAAATATGCTTCTTGTCATGGATCTCAGGTCGCTACTACTACGTGTATATATATGCAATGCCAATGCACCACAAGAGCACCTCGACACATAGCAGCTATAATACTTTGCAGCTGCGTCCAGGAGTAGCCAGCTAAAGGATCGCTCCAAACCCAGCTTCAACAAACGCGGCTTGCCGACGGTGACAGGGGTAGCTGTCTAAAGCAACGCCGATCGAGCCCCTGCTCTGGTGAGTCGATCCAACCACCATGGGCTGGCGACCGCGGCTCCTCTGCTGCCTCTTCCTGTCCCTGACGCTGGCAGGGCTCGCGCGCGCCGCCACGGTCCACCAGGAGTGGGAGATCAGCTACCAGTTCAAGAGCCCCGACTGCGTGCGCAAGCTGGCGGTGACCATCAACGGGCAGACGCCGGGGCCGACCATCCGCGCCACGCAGGGCGACACCGTGGTGGTGAGGGTGAAGAACTCCCTGCTCACCGAGAACGTGGCCATCCACTGGCACGGCATCCGGCAGATCGGCACGCCGTGGGCGGACGGCACGGAGGGCGTGACGCAGTGCCCCATCCTCCCCGGGGACACCTTCACCTACACCTTCGTCGTCGACCGCCCGGGCACCTACATGTACCACGCGCACTACGGGATGCAGCGCTCGGCGGGGCTCAACGGCCTCATCGTCGTTGCCGCGGCGCCCGGCGGCGGGCCCGACGCCGAGCCCTTCAGGTACGACGGCGAGCACCACGTGCTGCTCAACGACTGGTGGCACAAGAGCACCTACGAGCAGGCCACGGGGCTCGCGTCCGTGCCGTTCGGCTGGGTGGGGGAGCCGCAGTCGCTGCTCATCAACGGCCGCGGCAGGTTCGTCAACTGCTCGTCCATGGCGGGCGGGGCCTGCAACGCCACGCTCCCGGAGTGCGCCGCGCCGGTGTTCGCCGTCGTGCCCGGCAAGACCTACAGGTTCCGCATTGCCAGCGTCACGTCGCTGTCGGCGCTCAACTTTGAGATCGAGGTAAGCACGTTTAATTTTGATTTTGATCTCCTTCTCGATCGTTCGCTTTAGTTATTTGTTTCTCCGCATCCTGTTCTTTTTTTTAATAATATATTTCAATTTGTTAATTAATAGTTACAAAAGCAGGTGTCAAGATCTAAAACATTGCAGTTGAAACAACTCCGTGTAGTTGAATAGAAGAAAATGATGGCAACCATGCATGTTTGGTAAAAGATTTATAATGCATACATATACTAGTAACGCGCAGCTTAATTATACATTAGCGACACGGTTAAATGTGAAAATCGTCATATAGTCACAACTAAGAATACAAGCCAGCATTTGGATGAAATAAAATAAAAACTTAGATGACGCGCACCACTTTGGTAAAAGGTAGTGAAAGAGTGAGTCCACTTGCATTGCCAGCATAAGGAATCATATCATCCATACCATACATACGAATATATAGTAGTATATATACTTGCTATTTTGGTATGCGCATTTCAACTTTGATGGCATGTACAGAGCTAGATGAACTCTATAGGTCCATTATATATAGGAGATGGATGGTGCACTGAAATGGCGCGTGGTATATATATGGAAAATATAAATATAATGATAATTATTTGAAAAATATAAATATTATTTTTTACAGATTTAGTAAAAAATGGGACAGTTTCACATAAAAACAAACCTAAAATAATCGAAAAAAATAGGACTGTGGTAGTACTACTTCCTACTTCCTTAGTCCCATTGAGTTTGTCGTTGGAAAACCGTGCCCCCCTCACAATCCCGCTTCCCGAGCGACAATCTTAACGGGACGGAGAGAGTACTTCCTTATCGGTAGCGTGCGACAGCGTTACATGTTGCCCGTTACACAGTGTATTGCAGTCAAAAGCAAACCGCGGCGATGGAACCGGCCCACGCATCCCCATGTGCTAAGCTAGCTTGTCTTGTCGTCAAATTAAGCACGGGGGGAGCGTACAACGTAGTAGTACTTGGGTGGTGGTGTACGTAGTAGTACTTGCATTATATTCAGCGGTTGGCTGGTTCATATGTTCGTGAAGAAGTACTGTTAATTAGTTTGTGTAAGAGAAAAATATTGTTTTGATTAAAAATGAAGTACCGCTGACTGGTTTATGTAAGAGAAAAATAATATTACGACGGGAGATTAACGAGTGCTGCGCATTTCCCAAGGCCGACAGTGGCGACAACAAGAATCGTCTGCTGCAATCTCGCGCCACAAATCTTGGGCAATGCCGTGTTTTTGGGGCGAGGGTCAGTTTGGTCGTCGAAATATTTGGTAAAATGATAATATAGTGTTTTCGTTGTTATTTGATAATTAATGTTCAATCATAATCTAATTAGGTTTAAAAGATTTGTCTCGTGGATTTCGTTTAAACTATGTAATTAGTTTTATTTTTTATTTATATTTAATACTTTATGCATGCGTCTAAAGATTTGATGTAACGGAAAATTTTGAAAAATTTTGGCATTTTAGGAGCGAACTAAACAGGGCACAAGTCCGATGCAGGCTACGTGTGCACCATTGTTTTTTCTCCAAACCCGAGGCAACCAGGGAATATGCCTGCGTGTACGTTCTTGGCTCGTATAAGACACTGTGCTATATATCCCACGAAATTATTCCACTATATACTATTCGTACTACTGGTATTGCTGCTGGATATAGTAGTATACTTACTTCTAATAAAAGCCACGAAAGCTGCAACGCGCCCGAGGCAGATCGGACGACACAGCACGTTGCTTATCGACGAGACAAGGCAAGACAGACGAAGCAACGACTGCGTCCAACAACTCTTGCGAGTGGCAGTAACGAAATATGGAGCTAGCGCTGCCTTGCTGCACGACAAAATATTTCTTGTTTATTCTGTCAATGTTTCGGGTAGTTTCCCTAGGCTTTGAAGTTTGAACATCGACCTTTCAGACGCATGTAGAGCCATTTTGCAAGGCCATACCAATGGAATGCATCTCTGCCAACCGAGATTTTTTAATCCTATATACCAGAGTTACCAAAAGAGTTTACCACAGTTAGAATGTGAATAATGATCCACGGCATGCATGCTTTCTGCAGGGCCACGAAATGACGGTGGTGGAGGCCGACGGCCACTACGTGAAGCCGTTCGTGGTGAAGAACCTCAACATCTACTCCGGCGAGACCTACTCCGTGCTCATCAAGGCCGACCAGAACCCCAACCGCAACTACTGGCTCGCCTCCAACGTCGTCAGCCGCGAGCCCGGCACGCCCACGGGCACCGCCGTCCTCAGCTACTACGGCGGCCGCAGCAGCCCGCGGAAGCCGCCGCCGACCACCCCTCCCACGGGGCCGGCCTGGAACGACACCACGTACCGGTTCCGGCAGAGCGTGGCGACGGTGGCGCACCCTGCGCACGTCCAGACCCCGCCGCCGCGCGCCGACCGTGTCATCCTCCTGCTCAACACGCAGAACAAGATCGACGGGCACATGAAGTGGGCGCTCAACAGCGTGTCCTTCACGCTGCCGCACACGCCCTACCTGGTGGCCATGAAGAGCGGCCTCCTCGGCGCCTTCGATCAGCGCCCGCCGCCGGAGACGTACGCGCACCAGGGGTACGATGTATACGCTCCGCCGCCGAACCCGAACGCGACGGTCAGCGACGGGCTGTACCGGCTGCGGTTCGGCTCCGTCGTCGACGTGGTGCTGCAGAACGCCAACATGCTGGCGGCCAACAAGAGCGAGACGCACCCGTGGCACCTGCACGGCCACGACTTCTGGGTGCTGGGCTACGGCATCGGCCGCTTCGACCCGGCGGTGCACCCGGCGTCCTACAACCTCAAGGACCCCATCCTGAAGAACACGGTGGCCGTGCACCCCTACGGCTGGACGGCGCTGCGGTTCAAGGCCGACAACCCCGGCGTGTGGGCGTTCCATTGCCACATCGAGTCTCATTTCTTCATGGGAATGGGCATCGCCTTCGAGGAAGGCGTCGAGCGCGTCGCTCAGCTCCCGCAACAGATCATGGGGTGCGGGAAGACCAAGGGCGGCCACTAACAACCAATCATCGATCAACCAGGAGAGGACTGATGTTGTTCAGCAGCTGCATGCATCGTTGATCGATTTCATTCTTTTGTTTCTTGCTACTACAATCCATCTAATGGTACGAAAGACCTTCAGTCGCGGGCACATTTCTGGAGGAAGACAAATTGTTGCACTATGTATTTTTGTTTCATCAATGTTCCAAAATGAAATCCAGATGATAAGAGATTTGTATGGGTATTTAGATTCGTAATAATGTTACATTATATAATACAGTCCTGTGGCTTTTAAAATTAGAGAGACGGCCCTGCTTGACATTCAAAGTCAACCCCCACGATGTATGTTACTAGTCAATTCCATTCTGCACAAATACGGGGTGCCCTTGCTCTGACCAACCAATTTGCCGGAAATTTTGTAGTACCTGCGGACATGCATGGATACGACGACGAGAGCATATGCGCATCCAAATTTCTGTTTGGACAAGTTATATATACTGTTTCAGTCCAAAACAGAGAATATAAATAATTGAGCCGTCCTTTCTTTTATTTATTATTAGTAGTTAAAATTACAAACACACAGTGGACGCTAGCTGAGTCATCCCATGCATTATAAGCTATGCTTTACAGCGGATAATAAATTATCGAGAGAGTTTCAATGTTATACATACAAATGGAATTTCTACAAAAGGTGGGTACCAGCTCTGCTAGCTATGACCCTTTCTGGAGCGATTCTTTTCGACTTTCTCAAAACTCAATTCATATTTATGTTGCCTGTTTCAACAGCTTTTTCGCTGGATGGACGCGGTTTAGAGGACAAATAATAGTCTCTTTAGAAAATTCGCAGCTCAGAGCAATCATAATATAAAACAAAAGCAATTCTCTTTACAGCTACACTGCACGTAACACTTTGGCCGCCCTCTTTTTTCCGATATGACGGCGAATCTTATCAGTTACCGCGCGATACAACTGTTTCTCCGTAGCTACATCAAGCCAATGTATATGTATGCGTGTACACAGAGATCACGTAAAATAGTTTCGATAATAACGGTTGAATGGTACCTCATGCTTCAGCAAAATTCGATCCCTCTTTCAATCCCTACATATATAGCAATAGCATGCAGTGGAGTAAAAATAGATTTGTTGTCATTGTCTTCATAAAAAATACTACAACACCACAAACAGTTGTTTGAGCCTACTACATCTTACTAGTAGCACTCAAGACGTTGAAATTCCTTCATTAAAGAATTATATGTGTAATAATATTGTTTTATAAAAAGATTGAGTGATTATAGTTAAACTAACAACAGTGATATATATGCCATAACATTTTCGTTAAAATATATAAACTTATATAAAGTAACACATTATAAACCTTATTATCATATATAGTATATAATAATTTTAATTTAATTTAAAATAAAAGTGTCAGTGTCACATATATATATGGTTCACACGTAGCAGCAGGCACATGCCATGTGGTAGTTGTGGCGCGACATTGCATCAGTCATTCAGTCTGTATATTTTTTGCCCGTTGAACTATAGAAAACGTTCACCCAAGTAAAGTACTCCATCAGTTGCGCGCAGCCGCCGGCGGTGTTGTTAGGGAAAAGCTGCCCCAGTTGAGTGCTGGTTTCCTCGATCATTCCTGGGTGTTCTTAGTACTCCCTCAGTTGCATTCCAGTTGTATGGGCCGGTTTCTCGGGTGTTCCCTAACTCGCTGCGGTTTTCTTTTGACTGCAACTCCACAAGGGCATCACGCTAGAGACCGGTTCCTTCTAGTCAAGTTTTGTTGTTACCTATTCTCAAAAAACAAAAAAAAGTTTTGTTGTTACCTCTAAACTTGCATTGGCTCAAACAAAATCAACCAATCCCACCAAAATTTATTCGATACAACTTTCATAGATACTGCCAATAATCTGAGGATTCATATCATTTGTACCATTATTTTTCTAAATCATGATACATATGAAAACACTCATATATAGACTCACATTCGCCCCTATAAACACACGCGCACAAAACCTATCTCGATGAGCATCTCCGAAAAACTAAGCTAGCATATCTTGAGACATTTTTCGTCTATACCACCACTAATTTAAGGAATCATTTCTCCCATATCACTTTTTTTTTGCAAATCATAGTACAAATGCACACACTCATTCCTATAAATGCATGAAGTCACCATAGGTGGCTTGTTGTCCGATAAATCTCGAGGTTGACAAATCCACCATAGGTGTTGATGGGCACATCATTTACCGCTGAAAGAACAACACTGTTAAATTCTGGAAAAAATCCAGAAAAATATGAGCACTTGCATCGAGTCAAGGACTTTAACCCGTGTGAATAGATTTCGCCATAAAGAACCCAACCAACTGAGCTATGCTCAGTTCGGATCCATACTACTATTTTATATACACATTTCATTAATACCTCAACCAATGTAATGCCTAAGTAATGTGATGTGGGTCACCTAAGTTTTAGTTATTTTGTATTCTAGCTGAGGTCAAAGTCCAGTAATGTGATGTGGGTCACCTAAGTTTTGGTTATTTAGCTGAGGTCAAAGTCCAGGAGAGGGTGGATCGAGTGGACTGGCCGCGAACAAGTTCAAACCGAGGATGCACAATGGCCCAAGATGGTATTGAATTGGGCTCTAAAAATTTAAAACAATAACTTTAACCTATGGAAATCTATACCCCTAGCACCTTGGCTTCTAAGTTTTCTATAAATAAGTCCTTATTTTGATCCTAATTAGCTGACGATTAGCCATATTTACTGTAGCACCATATGAGCTAATCATGTCCTAATAAGGATTAATAGATTCGTCTTGTCAATTGGTCACCGCTTATGCAATTAGTTTTGAAATTAGTTCATGTTTGGTCCTTCTAATTTGCATCCAAACATAGTGCTAATTTTTAGGGGCTGGGATCTAAACAGGCCCCAAGCCGATAAATATGGAGTAGTTTCAATAACGGTTGAACGATGGTACCTCCATGTTTCAGCAAAGAATTAGATCCCTTTTTCAATACCTCAATAGAAATAGCATGCAGTGGTGTGAGTTTTTTTTACAACATCAGTGGTGTGAGTTAGGGGATCTAAAGGTTTTCACGACCTCACCCTAATTTACCTAACTAGCACATCAACTCATGCTGCCTGAAAAAAAAGATAAAAAATATTTTTTTGATAAATTTAATATATACAACAAATCAGAATCGATTATCTTTCTCTCTATTAATTTTCTAACACAATATCTATTTAACATGATATCCTCTATCAAGCCTTGATAAATTTATAAATTACTCTATATATGTTTTCATCTCTGCATTTAATACATGTTGCGCTTCTGTGGATTTTGAATATGTATTTAGTTTAAACCTTAGCTTTAAGTTATGCCAGATCTGATTGCATTCTTTTTTACCTCATGAATCTATACTTTGACATTCAACTTTTGATCTTTTAAGTTCTTGCATTTGTTTATCCATGTACTAAGTTCAAACTCTAGTGTCTATTGTGTCTTTTATTCATAATTTTTGTTTTACACATTAAATGGTCTGGGTCATCGTCTCTATATTTACTATGATACCAATAAATAGTTGTTTTAGCCTGCATCTTCACACCTAAGTTGAAGTTCCTTTATTAAAGAATTATGTGTATAGTATTACACTATGCTAGAACTCATAATCACGGCCAGACTATTATTGTTGGTTGCTTTGGACCCAATAGTGACAGAGTATCACCGCTGGTTCGTGATTTCAATTGGCAGTAATATGACAACTGGCAATGATAGCTAGTTCGTGGCTTCAATCGGCAGTGATAAGCACACAACCTATCACTGCTGGTTGAAGCCACAAACCAGCTGCGATAGGTGAACCATCAGTGATAGGTTGTTTTGAACAAAAAAAATTATTTTTTCGTATTAGATCGGATGAAGATAATATTTATATCAAAATTGTAGAGTTTAAAGAGATCTACTTGTTTGTAGTTGATAACTTTTTAATTTGAGATGGTTTACAAGTCTAAATATTCAATATAAGCTCTTGAATTAGATTTGAGATGATTAACAATGTCAAATGAATACAAAGTCAACATCAAAGTTGTAGTACACGACGAGATCTACAACTCTGTAGTTAATAACTTTTCAAAATTGAGATTTGTTTGGAGTCTCAAATATACAATATATGATTTACAATTGTGTAGTTAAAATAATAGCATCGGCGTATAGACACATGTGTCGCATAGCTCAGCTGGTATGAGCACACGAGGAATGTGAACATTGAGGACTTGAGTTTGAATTAAAAAACACATATTTTCTGGTTTTATTTTACCACTTATCACTGCCGAGTCTAGAAACGACGGTGATGGACTTGCCCCATCCCTGTCTGACAGTGTAATTTCTGGGTTTTAACTACTTATCATTGCCGGGTCTAGAACCCGGCAGTGATGCAATTGCCCCATCACTGTCTGTCCTGGCAGGGATGGACTTGCCATGTCACTGTTCAGCAGTGTAATTTCTGGTTTTTACCACTTATCATTGCCGAACACGGTGATGGACTTGCCCCATCACTGTCCGACAGTGATAGAGTTTGGACCCGGCTACTCAAACTTGATAGTTTGACTTGCACGGATTCTAGAAATGGATTAATTTCGGGATGAAACCATTGAAACTATATGTGATTTTCGTAGATGTCAAATCAGCAAGAAAACAACTCTTAGAAACTATAAGAGCAACTCCAGCAAAGACCCTCAAATCAGAGCCCCTACTTTTGATTTGAGGGCTCTCCTCATTTTTGAGGGCCTAATTTTTTGTACCTACTCCAGTAGGAGCCCTCAAATGAGTTCCTCAAATTCATCGCAACAGACCGTGACAAATGAGACCCACCCATCATTCCCTTCTCACTCTATCAACTGAGCTATCCACCTGCTTTGTGTAATGTGCCCCCTTAGGCCAATCCGTCATGAGGAAGAGGGCACCGGAAGAAGATGTCGCGGCCGTTGGATCTTGCCCTCTCCATCGGGACC